GGACTACTACACAATCACAATCTACAGTAAGTGGTGTGTGTGTATATGTATTAATGGAAACATGTATACATATATATATATGAATCCAGATCCTACCATAGACCCAGCACAAAGAAAGTACTCACTACACATAGACTTACTGAAATACCTACCACTTAATAAATCAACATATTGAAAAAACTGAATTACATATAAAAATAGCATTAAATCATATTTCAAATCAATAAATAACGGTTTTCTCTGAAAAATAGAAATTAAGAGTCCTCTGAATACCATTAAGACAATCTTTCACAAGTTTAGTTTTGACTTTCATCTAAACTAGAGATATTTTTTCAAATACCTGAAAGAGATTGTTAGTTTTGCTCTCAATTCTAGACTAGTAAGACCTCATTAATAATTACAAGTGGCAAGTATATAGTCATCTTTAAAAGAAAAAAGAAATATCCAGAAAGAATAATCATGAATTCAACATGCTTTAAATTTGACAAAGCAAAATAAAAAATGTATTGTCAGTATACTTCTTGGTTCCTAAACTGTGTATTTTTGCTTCCACCCATATTGTCAGCATTTCTGCTTGCTTAAAGCTTTTATCCCTGCTAGACTGTTAGTAGTCACTGCACTCCAAACTCATGCCAGTTGAATAAAGGTAACAAAGTTTTCTTCATCAACAGCCTGTAGGCTCACAAAATTGAACCTGTTCTTTTATCTGACTGTGTTCATTTAGCCCACCAAGCAGTCTTTATTAAAGCTGAGGCATCAGGCAGTCAAAGTTCATTAATACCATTTATATAATCTCTGCAATTTCAATTAACTCAGCAAGACATTCTACTACATGATAACAGTCTCATTAATTCAATAAAATCCCATAACTATTAACAATATGGTCGATGTTAAACGGGGTGTCACCTAGTACAAAATAATAGCTTTAACAGCTTGTGATGAACTCAAGGTTTTTTTCTTAAATTTGATCTGACTAAATATTCTGTCCTTTTACAGCAAGGTATTATTTCTCTGTAAAAAAATCTATAGGATTTTAAACATCTACAGGGAGTAATTAAGTCTTTTTAAGTGATACAGAGGAGTAAGCTAATAATACTTATTATCCAGTATTTGATGGATTTTGTCTAAATTATTAAGAATCTGATCTTCCATATTCCTGTGTAGTCTTCCATACAAATGCAGTGGGCCACATACATCACAAATGGTGGAGTATGTAGTTATTACATTTTTGTTCCTCGCCTGTGGAACTTATTTTCATTATTGTATAAGACTTCTTTAATGTGACTTTTTTCTTTCTCTAAAGAAAAATAGGAAAACAGATGTGTACACTGGGATAATTTTATCCTGATGTTATTCACTATCACCAAATCTTTTACTGTGAAGTATTTTCAAATATTTGAAAGAGAGGGAACAACGAGGAGATAGCCTTCACAACAAAAACCAACACAATGAGAAGAGAGCAGAAAAACAAACAAACAAAAAAACCCTGGATCCTTGATGAAGATTCTGAGCTACTGAACTAACTAATGCCGTGGAACCATTTACCCCCAAACTTCGTGCTATGTGTGTTAACAACACCCTTACAGTTTAAGCCATTTTGAATGGAGCCTTCTGTTATTTGTTCCCAAAAGAATTCTACACTAACAGAGATTTTTTTTCTCCCAGTCTCCTTTTTGTGTTTGTTTGTTTGTTTTTGGTCTTTTGACTTTGTATCTGACTTTTAGATAGCCTATCTTGCTTGCAAAAGCCTTTCCTCCCCTGAGATTACACAGAAGTTCTCCTAAATCTTCTTCTAGTATTTTTATATACTTTTAGTTTTTACATTTATATCTTTACTCCATCTGGAATTTATTCCCCAATGAAGGTATAATTTAATCTTTTTTTCCAGATGGAAAGCCAAATATAGGAAGTCAATATTCTTTTCCCTATTTTATCATATTAAGATCCCATATATAATTGGACCTGTTCCTAGATAGTCCCACTGATCTATTGGTCGATTCTCATAGTACCATTACAAGAGTTTGACCACAGAACATTTACAGAAGTTTTAATATCTCCCTTTGCCATTCTCCCTCTCCCTCAAATTCTGTGGAAACTCCAACACAATAATTATCATGATGATAATAACAATAATAACTGCAATTGCCACCATGAACCACTGCTGATCACTCTATGTTAACTTTATAAAAATAAATACTATTATTGCCCTCATTTTACAGATAATGAAACTAAGGATTAGAAAAGTAAAGTAAGCAAATGTTCTAAGATTATGCAGTTAGGAAATGGTGGAGGTGAGATTCAAATAAAGGGAGTTGAGTCTAGACCCAGCATTTTTAACAACTGAGCTAAATTATCTCCTTTAAAATAACCATAAACTTTTTAGGCACTAAATTTAAAACAACTGCATCTGGTTTTTGAAAAAGCACATATCTCATTTAGATTATTACTGGAATGACAATACATTTATATATTAGTTTGGAAACAAGTAGTATTTTTACTTACAGTCTTCTCATCCAAAAACATGCTATCATTTTTCTATTTATTCAATTCTTGCTTTATGTCCTTCAATAACATTTATAGCTTTCTTCATATAGCTTTTGTATCTTTATTATTAAGTTTATTTCTAGGCATTTTATGGTTTTGGTTGCCATTATGAATGGGATATATTTTTTCACTTCCGATTCTAAAAAGCTATTGTCAACATGTAATTAA